CTTGAAGCGTGTTCTACAAATCTTATCATTAAATCAACACATTATATTCTTTATGACGTAAAACTAAAAAAAAGATAAAACAATTTCCAGATATATGTTGTATAACTTTTACGTTTTTTTTTTTTGATAAAAGTATAACTTTCTGAGTTTTCTTTCATTTTTTAAATAGTTTTTTTGACGTTCTCATAAGCCTTCTCCGTCGAGATGCGATGCTCTCATTAGCTCTCGAGAGAAAAGCTAATTGTTTCAATTGTGTTGATTGTTTATTTAGATAATGATTATGCCAGCAAACGTAAAAATTAAATACTCTGATTTCTTGACTTTTTTCGAGTCTTGAGTGCGTATCGCCTCGAGAGTTTATTGTTTGCCGAGAATAATGGCGATTTACACGAGCTCGGATACGGCAGCTTTATAGTAACACGTAACACCCGCTGCTGCTGTTGATAAGGCGCCTTTGTACTATATCGGTAAACGTCACGAAATCAGCCTGATAAAATACGATTCGTTCAAGTACGATATATAAGATAATATACGCGCAATATGATCTGTCACGCAATTATCGATAGTCTGATAACATCGAAGTAATATGCGATTTTCGAGAATGTCCTTTTCTCGATCTTTCGTTAAATGATTTAATTTAATTTACTTTCATATACCTAATTAATTGTTGCTCTGTCTGCTTCAATTGATGTGTTACTGTAATCGACAGACTGAGATAATTACAAAACGCTCCTAAGAAAACAAATGTTATTTATGTATGCATATATGCGCATAATATATCTAGTTATTCAGACATATGTATTTACATAATAATGTTCAGGCAATGCGCTTTTTTCATGAAAATTCGACAAAATTTTAAATAATTCAAAAAAAGTTTATAATTTTTTTCCGCTAAAAAAAATGATAATGTCGAGAAATTTTGATAAAAGGATTAAGTAAAATTTTTATTAAATTTTATATTTGGTGATTTAATATTTTCTTATGATACGCTCTTTAAAAATGTTATCAATTTTTTTTTGTAAAAATGCAAGTCATTCTTCAAGGAAAATCATGATTCAATATAATAGTAAGAACTGATTTATCTCGCTAAAATGCAATTATTTCTTTGAATGATATTTACAATTTTTTAATCAAAATATGAAACTTAATATTTTTAATTACTAATATCTACTTTACGAAATTAATATTAAATATTATAATATTTCGATCTTTCATATTTTGAAAAAATTAGTATTCAATTAAAATATTTTAAGCTTTTAATAAAACTAAAAAATGGAAAAATATAAGGATCTAAAAATATAAGTACTTTACAATGCACGTCAGCAAAATTTTAAGGATCACATAAAAATTCACAATCAAATGAATTAAAACGCAATCAAATATTTAAAGATTCAGGATCCGAAGAACATAAGGATACTAGCATTTGAAAATTTAAAAATTTAGAAAATAGTTAACATATAAAATTCTTAGAAATTGGATATTTTGTCAAATTAAAAAATCAAGAGTTATAAACTATTATAGGCAAATACGCCGTGTGATTTACGTCAGTTAGAAGTTAGAAAAAAATAGAAGGAGGGGATAATTTTCCCGCAATTACTCTCTCTGTTACACGCCTTTATGTTATATTAGTATTGTGTTATAATTTCAGTTTCTTACTGTCAATGAAATTATTGTGAGTTGAATCGATATTTGTAATAAATAACGTCATAAATTATAATCATAAATTATAATCTACATAAAATAATTATAGTCCACATAAAAAAAGGAGCGTAAAAGACTTAATGGTTTCGTGGTACATAAGTGTAGAGAAACAATAAAGTATGTTGTAATTGCAAAATACAAATGCTTTGCTCATATATTCTTTGTTTAACTTGTTATCTTGCATATCCTATCTGTTAAAGATATTTTTAGCAGACGATTTATGCCCAAAGTATATAAAGTACTGTATAGATTGTCCAAAGTATATAGATTGGATTCAGTGCATTAAATGCAATAAACACATTATATGAAATATGTACCTCAATAACACTTGTAATATATGTAGGAAGAATATAATTATTATCTATTTTACTTCATATACATATCATTCTTATTCCTTAATAAAACTTTGCAAACATATTTTACAAGTTATTGTGTCATTTTACGTCTTATTTATAAGCATTATTTGTAAATTTTTTCATGAGTATATATCCTCCTCTCCCTAGTAGTAGTCATATATCTCACTCCTGGAATATACGGCAAAAATGCAGGGATTTCAAAAAGTTTTTCTTTAACGAAAAATAAGTATTTCGGATTTCTAATATTTTTTTCATAGTAATAGATAGTACAAAATTTTTATTAATATAATTCATTTATCTTAAAAATAATAAATAATACTTAATAAATTAAGTTTTTAGATGCGGCGTATATATCGGAATTATCCTAAGCTATTGCGGCGATCGGCGGCTACT